CTGACAGAGATTCTCAGGACATGCAAATACTATGAAGAGGCATCCTGAGGATAAACTGAAAGACAGGCCTGATGTGTTGTGCTTCTTAGCCCATTTCCTTTAAAATACTCATACTGAATTTATTTATAAATAACATGAGTTATGTGCAAAAGTGAGTCCTCATTATAGTTGGTCTAAATGGTCTAAAACTAAACACCTTTATGAAAAGATCCAATCAGGAGTGCAAAGTGATCTCTGCCTGTGCAGTGTTTTTTGATATCATAATAAGGAGAGGTGAATGAGAGGACAGTGCCATGTGAGATTAGCCACATAACCTTGTGCTTCAAACCACCTGGTTTGATGTCTGAGTTTCCATTTGTCTTGATAAATATAATCTGAAAATCTTATCAGCAATGAGGTAAATACAAAATGTTTGAGTTCTTATCATCCTGTTGAAGAATTTCTTCTTGATGATACTGTGTCAAACATGGGAATCACTTATTACTTACTGAAGCAAAGTTCTGGATAAAATTAAGTGATACATGTGAGAAAGTGTGACTCTTGCGGCATGTCCTGCTCCTGCTGCCCTGTGTCTGTGGAGCTGTGCACCAAAAGCTGCAGCTGCCGCCTGTAGTTGTATTTAAACAGCATATTGTGAATTTGTAGGACAATCAGACTAAAACACAAAACCCAGTCTTTTGTGGCAATGTTGTTTCCTAGGCACCACCTCCATCTGGTTTTTACTTTCTCTAAGTAGCCTTTGAAGCTGCTGGACAATGCCAGCACCTTATGGGAGCTGTTGAGCTTTCAATGGACTTGAAAGGGTTTCAGTGAGTTTCTGCAAATTGAATGAAAATAAGTAACAGACTAAAGAGAGAGACTTCTTAGTGTCTCCAAACTGGAGAACTAATTTAATCTTTATTAGGCAGAAGAGAGTCCACTGAGACTCTTTGCCTCATGACACATCTGATGAGTTGTCCAAGTTTGGCTGAGTTACCCGGTTTGGAACACCCTCATGTCAGATGCCTTCTTGCAAGGATTTCTCTGGTTTAACTTTCTGAATGTATTTTCAGTGATAAGAACATCAATTTAAATTTCTTTTTTCATAGTTGAAATTCATATAAAGTCATTTAACAATCACTGAGAGACAAGGCTGGTAGTCCTCATTAATATGCAGATTTTAGTAAGGTTTTCTTAAGCTTGAGTTTGTAACTGCAGGTAGAAATTTAATGTTTTATTGAAATGGCAGTGAAAACAAAATTCAGGAAACCACTGTTTAATGTGTGCTTATTAACAGCACCTTTTAATAAATATGTGAAGAAATCTAAGTGGGAAAAAAATAATTTTTACTCAAAAAACCTGATAATTCTTTGTCTAAAATTGTATGGGCCAACAACAAAAGCTGATTAAATGGTGTTCTATGAAGAGATAGTCTTTTATAGTTTCTGATATCTTTATCTCTTTGAATATAATAAAACATGATTTTGACTTAAAAATTGTCATCCTTGATGGGTAGTAGTCATATTGGGTCTATTAGTTCAAGTGTTACATCTAGTCAGATCATGTCTCCTAAGTCACACAGTCACTGCTCAGACAGGAGACCTCTGAAGCATTCACACTGCTGGGAAAAACAAAAGATCAAATAGCCAGCACGTGTCCTGCACAAGAGGTAGTCAATATTTCTTCTGAGTACAGGAGATTTTCTGCTGGTGGAGCAGCCCTCTGTCTGATGAGATTTAGAATTGGAATTATCCTGGTTTTGGTCATTGCTAGTGCAGTGTGGAGTTTGGCACCTGCTGTCAGAAGCTACCTCCTGGGTAGCTCCTGTGCCCTTGCTCTCATGTAGCTGAAGACAAGATGCTTGGGTGGTCTAGAGAGAAAAAAAAAGGAGCATCTGAAACCTAATGGAATTTCAGTGTGTTTGGTAGGATAGCTGTAGTTTTCCTAGTACTGTAGTTTCCTTAGTCATCTGAAATTTGAAAGTCTTACCCGGAAAAAAGCTTGAAAAGTTTAAAATAATGTGTCTCAGAGTATTAGGAGCTGCAGGCTAAATAAACAGAATCCCACCCCTTTAATTACTGCATTTTAAATTGCGCATTTAGCAGCCAATCTAAACATTTTTCCTTCTATCTTCATGATTTCTTAATGTTCAAAATTGGATAATAGCTGCACTCTTTCTTTTGTATATTCTCCTTACCTTGCAGATCTTCCTCCTTTTCTCAGCTTCTCTCCTGAGAGACAGGCACAGCCCTTCATACCTTTATCTGAGCCCTCATGATGCAACTGTGTGTTGGTTCATGCTCTTGGCTTACAGACTATTCACAGTGCAAGTACATTAAAATAGCAATACTAGCAGAAATGCGGCCAGACCTGTTTTGTCTTAGCAAATGGAGCCTTGCAAAACAGTCATAGCTTCAGGAAGAAAGTGCCTAAACTGCTAAGGAGGGCTTCTCAAATTAATCTTTCTGTTGAAAATAAGCACTTGTTATGAGAGCTACCTTGGCTTAATCCTTTTTGTTCCCTGCGATTTGTTTAATCTCACTTCATCAATTGGTTAGTTAGAGACCTGTTAGCATATCTTTGCAATTGTAGAATCCTCCATGCTTGTCCTGTTAATACATTGGGTAATTTAAATCTATGCTGTCAAAACAACATGGAATTGTTTATAAATTTCAAAAAAATAAAAACTTCTCTTACCACCTTTGGTCTCGAAATCATATTTTTAGACACAGTAGGCTTTTAAATCTAAGCAAATACCTTTGGTTGTTGTTTCAGAAGTGTTTGGGATTCCTTACTTGCAGCACAATTGTTTTTAATAAATAGAATTTACGTACATCAATACTGGGACTCTTTTTTTAGATGCACTTCTCTGTGCACTTTTTTGTCTAATACCTTCACAAGTCTTAGTGATTTCTGGAATAAGTAACTATGGGGAATTAATTGCCCCTGATAGGCTTTGAGGAATTTTTCATTTTACTCTTAACTTATGCAATAAAACAATACCTTTCATAAATATGTTCAGTATGAAATCCTGAAAATAACATATATTCTATTTGTTTTCAGCTATTTGAGAGTTTATTTGCCATTGATAGCTAGTGGTAAAAGTGTGAGAGTAGTCACATTTCTTTTGAATATAACTCCAGTTCTGAATTTGAATTCTACTTTTTGAAAATACCCACTTACCTTCTTCTTTAGTGAGTATTCCTGTGGCAAATTAATTGTGTGAGTGTGTGAAAATACCATGGTAAGACATGGAGAACAAGAAGAATGTAGACACAGTTGCAGTGTAATGCTTTTAAAAATTCAGATGGAATTTCATTCTTATTTTGCAGGTTTTGCACAAATTGCTTGGAAAAAACTTCATAAAGCCCAGAGCCATGTTCCTCATGCCTCTTATGCAATTCAGAGTTACATGAGCCACATACATTTCATGTCTGATCTTTATGTACAAAGTAAATATTTCAAATGTAAACAATATAAATAGATATATATGTGTGTCTGTTTGTTAAGTCCATATCCCTTTCCTTTTAATGAAATTCCGTAGCTACAGGTTGTGGATTTTTGTTTGTCTGCACTTAGCAAGTACTTGGTTTACAAGTGAAAGTCCCTTGCATTTACATAGACCTTTCTTTCCCTATGTCTATAAAGTTATTACAAACGGTGTAGGTGAAGGTTGCAGTGACTATTTTTCAACTGGGAGAAAGAAAACTGCTTAGTGTCTCAGTAGAGCTGATGAATAAAATACATTTTTTTATATATATATATATATATATATATATATATGTTATAGAAAAGTTTACCTACATTGAAAGGTGGTATATATCCCATTTGGAATATATTAATGTATTTAATGATGTATGACTTTGTCATTTTATTGCTTTACTTTGCAAGTCAAATAGCTGTTCTATTTCCAGTATCATTTAATCTCAGACATGGGCAGGAGGAACACAAAGCTCATTTTCAATGTATCAGGTGTGCCTCCTTTAAGGATCACCCAGCTAATTACTAGTTTCCGTGACATAAAGAGAAAAAAGACAGAATAAAGAAAAATGTTTATTCCAATTCCCTGAACCTATACATGCCTGAAATATGCTACTAACATGGAAAATGTGAACACTGCAGGTTCAAAGGAATGACCCATGGAGAACATTTTCCGTTGTAGCCTAGAGTGTTTTTTTCAAGTAAGTGGTCACAGATAGTCACTGTTGTGAGTGTCATGAGGACGGCAAGTCAAGGACTCTCCAAGACTGTCTCTCCTAATACCTCTTGTCCCAGAATATGCACAACTGCACTTTGTTGGCCAACTTTGCTGAAGGAGTGGGGTGTTTTAGACTTAGAAGGGAAAATCCTGGTGCCATTGAAATAAAGAAGAGTTCTGAGGTGGGTTTCTCTAGAGATTGGATTTCATATTTTGCATAGTGCTCTCAGTTCCATATGGCTACATTAGGAAATCTGAGTTGCCAGTGTTGAGCTCAAGTGTTTTGGATTGAGAGCTGTTGGAAGCTTTACCACAGATTTTTAAACATGAGTGTAGCCTGTATCACTTGTAGTGATGGAAAGAAATTGTTAACTTAGATTTGAAACACTGGGCTGTGTTTGGGGGAAGTCAATTAAATCAGTTAAGTCTGACTATGAAATAAGATATGATTATGTTCAAATCCAAGAGGAAACAACCGTACCAGCTACTATGCCAAAGCCTTTTTAAAACCAGTCGTAATCTCAGCTTCCTGCTTTATCATCATACTGCTATTCCTCCACCTGTCAAAGACTGTGAGTCTCTGGGACCTCATTTATAGTACTGCTTCTGTGGCCTCTCCTAAACTCATTTATATTTCTTGCTCCTGTAGCTTCTCTCATATGTTTCTTATTATTTGTGTGAAGTAGCTCGTCTTTTATTTCAATCATTCCAGAAAATTCAGCCTTGGGATGGGCGTGGGGGGGGCAAATTGGAGGGGAAGGAGAGCACCTTTTATTTTATTGTGCTTTTTTACCATTCACCTTATTTATATTTTTCTTCTCAGAAAACCAAAAGGGATGTAAATAACTTTGATCAAGACTTTACACGAGAAGAACCAGTATTAACACTAGTGGATGAGACAATTATAAAACAAATCAATCAAGAAGAATTTAAAGGGTTCTCTTATTTTGGAGAAGAGCTACTGCCATAGACAACGTTAGGCTGACGGATGAATGATGCTACAAGAAGTAATGCTGAAGAGATCATCAAATTACTGAGACTCAGTAGATGGAGAACTACTTCTTTTACCCTGAGCCCATATCCCAAGTTAAAGTATATATTTATTGTATTTTTCCTTTAATTTTCTGACCTGAAAGCACTCTTAAGTTCTGTCTCACAAAGCAATGCAAAATAATTTTGTATCAGAAATTGTGGATGTAACACACTGCCATATATTTGCAACTTTTCTTTTATTCCTAAGAATAGGAATTTCCAGAGGACAAAATTGCATCTTTTCCATAAAAAATGAATCTATGCTATTGAAAGCAATTTAGCAGATCACATTCTGTAATCATCATATATAATTAAGCTAAGAAGGTGAGAACTGTTTCTTCTGTAGTGGTAGTTATGGTGAGATCTGTACTTAGATGCCCTTTGTAAAGCAAAGTCTGCCTTCATGGAGGTGTAATCCTCAATTATTAATTTATTGTGGAGAGGTACAAACTATGAAGTTATCGTCAGACAACTTTCTTCCAGAAAAAGAAGCACATCAATTAAAGCTTTCAGTGAATTTCCTCGTACAATATACAGGAAACTCTTAGGAATAAGAGACAAAAAGCTAACTGAAATTTTATTTAAAGCAAGAAACAGATGCTACATGGATAGATATTAAAGGGCTAAAGAATAAAAAGCCTACAGTATTTTAATTCAGCTATACATAGCCATTTTACTATTTTTTAGACAATTTGGTGTACTATCCATGTTACCAAATTAAATAACCTTTTAAATGAACCAATAATGTGACGGCAAGCTTGCAAATGTTTACAGTTAATTTTTCATAAAAAATTAATTATAAACATTATAAATTTGCATTTTCCATAGTAGCTAAGTTGGTAAATAATTTCTTATTTATATTTATTTTCTCAGCAGTGTGTTGCTTTTGCACACTTATACAAAACCATAGTACTACTGTGTATGTTGGGTTTTATGTTTAAAGTCTAAAGAGAAATCTGCTTTTAGAAGACACAAAATAAGGCTACATGTGCATTATGTGGAGATGTGTTAAAAAACTGAAGATCAAACATTCACAAACTGACATTATTAAAAGTTGTAAATTGATATTTTTTTGTGTATGAATTGAAATGGTAACTCATGTGGACAATATTACTAATGTGAAGTTACCTCCTGTAGATATGCTAACAGTGTTATGTACTTATATTTCCAGGGATACCCTGTGATTTGGTTTTGGTTTTGATTTTTTTAATTTTTTTTAATATTTTTGTTTGTTTGTTTGGGTTTTGATTTGGTTTGATTTGGTTTGTTTTTTTGTGTGTGTGTATATGTATCGCTGAGGTAATTTTATTATATATTTTACTGGACTGAGTGAGCGGTCATTGGAATCCATTTTAATTGTTGCACATGGATTTCCAGCTGCACAAAAATACATATACTTGTGATTGGCAAAGTGGCACTAAAGAAGCTTTTTTGCCTTTTGTACAGGTGAGATTTTGTATATAGTGTTTGCTGCAAGGCCTGTGGAATTCATTGAATATAGAGGTATCAACTGCTGCATGTTCAGGCATACTATTAAAATGTTAGTCTATGAAAGAATAATTATAATAATGTCCATGTGCAATACTCTTGTATGTGTATTGGTTCAAGTTACTGTCAGAAAGATGAGGTTTTTGTTATAAAAGATGTAGACATATATTAAGCTATACTAAATCTCTTGTATAGTTCTCTTCAACTCTATTATGACATGATAGAGCTCAGAAAGAGAAAGGAATGTTACAAATTGTGGTGGACAAAGTGTGAATCATTGGCTTTAAGAGATAATCTCAGTCTCAAGCAGATGAGTTAGTTTGTGTCAGTTTTGTGTCTGGCTGCTCATAGCCTGTTTTTGATGACACCATTCAGTTCCATTTTGTTTTGTTTTTAAAACTCAGGTGTAATTATTATGTATATTCTTATGATTATTTCAAAATATTAAATATTATGATATATCAATTAATGTGTTGTCTGGCCTACAAGTGTAATAAGGATCAAGCCTTTAGTTTAATTTAATTTATCTTCAGTAATCTTTTGTACTGGGAAAAGACTAGCTTCTGGAGCTGAGTACCAGCACAGAAACATCTTAACGATTGCATCATCTCAATGTTTAAATTTCTTTCTCTCTTAGAAATATATTGTAGAGCTGCCCATCAATTTGTGTCTCGCCACTGGCTCTGTTTATTTCTCATCACGGTTAGCTTTTGACATCCAGGCAAGAACTGATCATAATGCTAAGGTGTTCTTTTCCATGGGTGAGTAGACTGCTAGGAAGGCAAGTTATGAGATCGTGCACTACTGTTTGTCCAACAAGAGGCCTTTACACAGAGCTCTGAGCATTTATTTTGAAGGAATAAAAGTATCCCATAAAGCTATTGTGCACAAGCTATGTAGTCTGTATTTCCCTTTCTAATATGAAGATAATTAGCAAATGTTCGTATGTCAAGAGGCCTCAGTGCCTGCAGTTTTGGGTAGGATGCTAAGAGAAAAGTGAAGGAGATAGAAACTATTGCATGGGCAGATATTTCTTCAGTATAAGTAGTTTCATCCTCTGCCTTGGGTTTACATCAGAAGGTCTGTCTGTTACCTTGAACATTTTTTAAAGGTAACTCTTAAAAAAGGACATTCTGTTATGTTTCTGCCTGTTCTGTAGAACCTTTTCTGTTCCTTCTTTGTAAAATGAGTGCAAAATGCCAAAAATATTACTAATAATAATTATAAAGAACACATTGTTTCTTGGTTTTCCTCCCATTTAAAAATGGAAATACATTTTTCTCCATAGGGTGAAAAATAATTCTCTCCAAAAAGTTTTAAAAATTACCTCTTTTTAAATTATGTGCAGAATAGTTCTAGCTAAATATAAAATGCATTCAGTTGGGGGGTAGGTTTTTTTTTATTGTGAGGATTTATTTGTACAGAATTTTTTTCTTATGGATGTAATTTGAATCTCTTGCCACTCATTAGTGTTATTTCATCATAAACATTATTACTGTGCCAAATGTACTGTATTCAAAAGGATGTGAATGTGTATTGTTTTGGAACCTAATAAATACAATGATGTTAAATCTTATTTTTTTCCCCAAAGTTTTCCTGAGTATTTCCTAATGAGGAAGAAAGAAAGACGAACATGATACAACATCCTGTTGCATGTTGTACAAAATTTCATGAGCTTGTCTTTTAGGAGTGGACATTTTGCAAAGGAAGGATTTGCTAAGAAGAGCCTCACCTGTGAAGCACTAAACAAGAAAAACACAGGTAACAGTGTGTGATCACTATTTTGCTTGGGTAATACAACATTTACCTCAAAAACACCATGCAGGTGAATTTACATATTATTTCTGCTTACTGGCTACATCACGGTCACTGAGTTCTGACTGATCACAGCAGTGCTTAGCTGAACTGTTAAAACTCATTTCAGTAGGGCATTTTGAGTACAAACACATTGCACTGCTTTAGTCTCTCATTGGATTGAATAGAGGGATTAATAGTATGCATAAATTTAGTTAAAGGTCATAGAGCTTATTAAATTATTTATTTAACTTAATATGTAAATATGACATTGGCTGAAATATTTTATTATTTCATCATATTTCAATTTGCACCTTAAATATTTTCCTGTTCCATGGTCTGAAACTCTTAACTTCAGTAGATCAGCTATCAACATACTCTGGCAGTAAAGCCAGTTAACAATCTCCAGTTAGTATACCAAAGCAGTAGGTATATTAACTAGCTTAAAAAAAATAAAAAATAAAAAAATTGTAGTTGCATTTTCTGATCAAATTGCAGCTTTTGCGTAAACATCCACTTTTTACGCTGAGTCTTCTCAAAGTTGCTGAATGTGTTTGGTGCCTATAAGCATATCCCAGTTCCTGTGTGTTGACAGCATTAGCATAATCATTGTCACAGATTCTACCAGTTAAATAACAATGTAACTTGGATTTTCTGGTTGTGTGTTGCAGCCTTAGAAGCATATGAAGGCTTAACTTCATCTCACAAACAATAAACATCACTGGTTTCCAAACAGATCAATTCATATCATGTTTTCTTGTAATGCTGTAAAACTGATGTCTATTAAGAGCAATTTTTATCCTTGCTGATGGACTGCAGAATTTGGGAAGACAACAGTCTTTTGAGTTGCAGTCTCATTGGCTATCCATGCTGTAAATGTGGCACTAAATGTTCAGGAAGAGTCTCGCCAGGAAGTATCTGTCTGCTTCTGTGGCCTTCCAGAGACAGGGGCTGTCAGATCATTCATTTTACAATCAAAAAGATTTTTAGCCTCCTGGTAGTCTAGTCAGTTACATGGTGAAATCAGTTTGAAGCTTTCTTTTGATTAATTCCAATAATCAGTTTTGAACAATCTCAACTTCTGGCATGCAAAACATTCTGTGGAAAAAACTACAGAGCTCAACTATCAATTCTGTTAAAAATTACCTCTACTTGTTTATTCTAATAGACACAATCATAAGTCTCTTTTATGCTGCCTGGGTCTTTATTTGAAAGAGGATCAATCATTTTTTTGCTATTCACCTTTTTCATGCCACTCAGAATTTTATAGGTCACTGATACATGACTCCTTAAATGACTGATACATAAATGGCTCCCTCAGCCATTTCTCTTTCAGACTGAAAAGTATTGCCGTGTCTATCAAAAGGCTACATAAAGATGCATCACATATTTTTGGTCATCTGTATCAAATTCCAGTGAATCTTTTCTAGTTCTACTGTATCCCTTTTGAAGACAGGGAGTAGAATTACATGTAATTTTCAATTGTGGATGCAATGTGTATTGCTACAATGACTACTGTGTTCTGTTTTGTTTTCGTTACATTTTTTTACATTTTCTTTTCTTAATCCAAGTTTGTTCTCAATTATTTCACAGGCTGTCCCTGATTAGTGTCAGTTGTAAATCTAATATGCATGCTTTCTGTCTGATCACCAGTCATAAAACAGGTTCTGTCCAGGACACGATGAAAATATGTTAAACAGGAATTTAGCAACTTGCAAAATGCTCCTTGGTGCAGCCTTCCCTTTTAGCAGTAAACCTTTGATGGTCACCTTCTCAGTATGGTTTTCCTGTTGTTTTCATACTCCCTATATTATAGCTATGCTTAGACTGTCTTTCCCTAGTTTGCTTATATTGAAAGCAACAAATATTTTTCCAAAATCAAGATACAGGACAAGCTCTACTCCCTGTCTTTCAATACAAGCTCCTACTGTGTTCTGGAGTTCCCCTTCTTTTGACCTGTTAGCTACAGTGAAGGGGAGAAAGATAAACATTTTCTTAGCACATTGGGAAAGTGCACATATGGGCCATAAGAGTTTCCACTCTGTCTTTCCTTTTACCTCATCATTGCTGTAGAATCAGGAGATTCTACAAAGAGCAACAGCCTAAGTTGAAACTCAAATTGCCACTATAAATATTGTGAAATGATTATGCAAGACTGTCCAAAATTTGGAAAAGCATTAAAGAACTTTAGCATTTGTACACAGATATTTAATCCTCGGAAAGAAATCAATTAGGAAGAAAGTCATTGACCTGGCGTCTGTTACTGATCTGGATTGAGAACTGAATTGGGAATTGCATATACTTGTCATCAGCATTCAACACTACCAGTTTGATCTAGTGTCTTGTGTACTGAAGGAAGCAGCTTGGAGATAAGGCTTGTAGTCACATCAAGAGTCAATGCTGGGCTGAAGCTCGTCTGTGCAGATGGACACTCTCATTCCTCCAGACCTATTACGACAAAATGTTACTCAGAGGTGCCTTGCGTCTAGGATCAGTGCCACAGAAAGGAAAGTAAGGAACAGAAGTCCTGCTTTTGGGCTGCACAAGCTGTTAGGTTAATTGGGTCATCTTATGTAGCTGTACCCTTGAATATGAATTGGCCAGATAGTCCTCAAGTGACAGTAAATGCACCTCTGCTCAGACATCAGATGGTGACTGTTCCAGACATGAAGAGACTGGAACATCAACATGAACAAATGTGTCTAAATGTCAGAAATGAACTTGTTACTTGCACTTTCCCATAGCAAAGAAATGAGTACAGTTGCATAAGAAACTCCTTGGTTTTCATTGACACAAGTGGTTTGGAACTTGAAACTTCAAAATTGTGCAGAGGGAGAGATAATATTATGGCCATTTTGCTAATAAGCAAACTGAAATGGTGGTGATTTGCTTTCTATTATGTTAGTATAAAGTCAGCAGAAGTCCTAGGAAAAGTATGTGGGTGAAGCTCATCAGTGCCCTAATTGTCCTGG